TGCTGCTGCTTTCGTTGATTCATTTCACACAGGGTGCAGCAGCAGCAACAGCTGCTGCAACAAGAGCTGCTGCAGCTGCTGCTGCAGGCCCTGCTGGGCAAGTGATTTGCTGCTGCTACAGCAGCAGCAGCAACAGCAAAGGCAGCAGCACCAGCAGCACAACAATAGCAGCAGCACCAGCAACAACAGCAGCAGCAGCAAAACGGAGCGCAGCAGCAACCCCAGCTTCAACAGCAGCAAAACAGCAGCAGCAGCAGCAGCAAATGCGTGTCTTGTGCTGCTGCTGCTGCTGCTGCTGCTGCTGCTGCTGCTGCAGCTACGGGCCCCACAACAACGGCGGCATTTACTTTGAAGGCGGGGGAGAATCTGGATGGGGAAGAAAGTTTTCTTTTCAAAAACCCCAAGTTCGAAACATGATTAAAAAAGCTGCTGCTGTTTTCCTGGAGGAATACAAGTCAGGCCTGCTGCTGCTGCTGCTGCTGCTGCTGCTGCTGCTGCTGCTGCTGCTGCTGCTGCTGCTGCTGGTTTGGTTGCTGTTTTGGGCGCTGGTTTCGTTGCTGCGGCGATGCAGCTGCTGCTGCGGCGTTTGCTGCTGCTGCTGCTTTTGCTGCTGTCGAAGCTGCGGTTGCTGCTGCGCGCTTTTCTGCTGCTGCTGCGGCCTTTGCTGCTGCTGCTGCGGCCCTTGCTGCTGCTGCTGCGGCCTTTGCTGCTGCTGCTGCTTCCGTTAGCGCTGCCGGGGTTCCTGCTAGATTTGCTGGTGGCGCCCTCGTTGCAGCTGCTGCCACCCTGTTGTTGCTGCAGCAACAGCAGCAGCAGCAGCAGCAGCAGCAGCAGCAGCAGCAGCAGCAGCAGCAGCAAGTGTTTGTTTGCTGCAGCGGCGATGCACTGCGTCTCGACTCTGTGCACAATCTGCCCTGGGATTTGCTGCAGGTGCGGCGTCGCCTCTTTTGCCTTTATTTAATTTTTTAAAATTAAAAATAATTAAATTAAATTAAATTAATTTAAATTAATTTAATTTATTAATTTAATTAATTAATATAAATTAAAATAATTAAATTTATTAAAATTAATTCAATTGAGTCAATCATTCCTAATCAGCAAACCAAGTGCTGCTGCAGCTTGGTGCCCTTCCGCTGCTGCAGTAGCAGCAATTGCTGCCGCTGCTGCAGCAGCAATCGCTGCTGCTGCTGCAGCAGCAGCAGCAATCGCTGCTGCTGCTGCTGCTGCTGCAGCAGCAATCCGCACTTTCCGCTGCCGCTTGTGGGAGCGGATTGTTCGTAAAAAGCCGCAATTTGTTGCAGCAAATAAATAACAATTAATTAATGAATTAATTGATTAAATTAAATTAATTAAATTAAATTAAATTAAATTAAATTAAATTAATTAAATTAATTAAATTAATTAAATTAATTTGTTTGTTTTGCTTCCGCAGGAACTCACCAGCTTCCTGCGGCAGCAGTTTCCCAGCAAAAAGCTGATAGCTGAAGTGACACCCGAAAACCCTCAAGTTTGCGCAGCAGCAAACTGCGATGCTTGTTGGATTCATTCTGCTTATTACGACGCAGTCAAGGCAAACCCTAAACCCTAAACCCTAAACCCTAAACCCTAAACCCTAAGCCCTAAGCCCTAGGTCCTGAGGCCTGAGCGCCGAGGCTCCGTAGACTGCAGCCCCGCAGCCCCACGCCCGAAAAACCTGCTTCTAGATCGCCCCAAACCCTAAACCCTAAACCCTAAACCCTAAACCCTAGGCAGCTCTAAACCCTGGGGGGAGTCTTTGTAGACTGCAAACCCTAAACCCTTGACGGGCGCCCGTGAACTGTTCGAAAGCTTCGTGCTGCGGTGCAGCAAACCCTAAACCCTAAACCCTAGCAACTCCACTCTAAACCCTAAACCCTAAACCCTCGCTGCCTGCAGATAATGAGGAATGAAGAAGCCCCTTATCATCTCTCGATGCTCAAGAACATCGTCAACGTCCACCAGTAAACCCTAAACCCTAAACCCTAAACCCTAAATTAGCGGTTGCAGATCTGCTGTTGCCTTCAGCGCAGTTGAAGGTCTAAAGAAACACTAATTAGGGTTTCAGCATTGGGCCGAGGGTTTAGGGTTTAGGTTTTGGAGTTCAAGGTTCAAGGCCAAGGGTTTGCTGGCGTACGTGTGTGAATTAATCCAAGCTTTTAGGGTTTAGGGTTTAGGGTTTAGGGTTTAGGGTTTGCTGGGGTTTGTGCAGCGGCTTCACAAAGTCCTCTCAATGCATCAACTCCATTCTTGGCAGCCACGACCAAGCGGGCAACCGCCACGGGGTACGCAAACCCTAAACCCTAAACCCTAAACCCTAAACCCTAAACCCTCTTTCCGGAGCCTAAGCCCTGACCCCAAACCCTCGCAGCAGCAAGCAGCAGCAGGGCTGCAAAGAGCTTCGCCTTTGCAAGCCGGGGCCCCCAGTCGACTCGCTGGGCCTCTAGGGTTTAGGGTTTAGGGTTTAGGGTTTAGGGTTTGTGTTTGGCTGTTAGGGCCAAACAGATGGGAAGCACGGCAAGTACTTCGTCTCCCTTTTTGGCGGCAGAGATAATTGGCACGCGAGGGCTCAGTGCCGCATGTGGTCAGCTAGCCAACAGCTAGCTAGCCAGCTAGCCAGCTAGCTAGCCAACAGCTAGCCAGCTAGCTAGACAACAGCTAGCTAGCTAGCTAGCTAGATATAAGCTCTAGAGGCACCTGCCTGCCTGGCTCAGAGCGCAGACGGCTAGTTTGCTTCAGCGCTGCAAAGTGCAGGCCAAGAGATGACTCCAGCTAGCTAGCTACTTAACTAGCTAGCTAGCTAGCTAGCTAGCTAGTTAAGTAGCTAGCTAGCTAGCTAGCTAGCTGTGCATTCTTGTTCCGTCAGCGCAGCCGCGGGTTTCTCGATCTTATGTCCCTCAGATGGATTACGAAAATGCGAATTTGACAAGCCTATCTTTTGCTGCTGCTGCTGCTGCTGCTGCTGCTGCTGCTGCTGCTGCTGCTGCGCAGGTACGCGCTGCAGGCAGTGAGCCGGGGGCTGCCGATGCTGTTTATGGGCAGCGAAAACCTCCAGGGGGATTTTTGGAATGTCCAAAAAGGAAAAGAAATGAACTGGAGTCTTCTCCACGACCAGCTAGCCACGCAGATGCGCGCACTCGTGAGACTCCCAGCTAGCTAGCTAGCTACCCAGCTAGCTAGCTAGCTAGCTAGCTAGCCAGCTAGCCAGCCATCTGCCTAGCTAGCTAGCCAGCTAGCTAGCTAGCCAGCTAGCTAGCTAGCCAGCTAGCTAGCTAGCCATCCAGATAGCTAGCTAGCTGGCTAACTAGCTTCGAGCCGAAGCAGCTTCGCGGCGCCTTTGCAGCTGCTGCTGCTCCTCCAGTGGCTGCTGCTGCAGCTGGTGTTGGAGCTGCTGCTGCTGCTGCTGCTGCTGGTGGGAGCTGCGGCCGCTGCTGCGGTGCTGCGCAGTTGCTGCTGCTGCTGCTGCTGCTGCTGCTGCTGCTTTTCAGCAGCAGGAGCAGCAGCAGACCCACAGACGGGCTTTTCAGTTTTTGATATTTCTGCAGCTGTCGATACACCGCAGCTCTTGAAGTTGGTGTCTTTAAATTATTTAATTCTTTTTCTTTTCTAATTTTATTTATTTGCTTTATTTAATTTTATTTATTTCTTTTATTTTATTTTGTTTATTTACTTTATTTAATTTTATTTATTTCTTCTTTTAATTTAATTTTAATTAATTGTCTTTTTATCCCTTTTGCGCATTTTCTTTTTTCCTTTTCCACCATTTGTTAATTCTTCATTTATATTTATTTTATTTTATTTTATTTTATTTATTTAATTATAATTCATCATTTATTATTTATTTATTTATTTATTATTTATTTATTTATTTATTATTTATTTATTATTATTTATTTATTTATTTATTTGTCTTTTATTTTGCTGCGGGGGTGTCTTTGCTGCTGCTGCGCTGCCCGCCGTTGCCTGTCTTATTATTTAATTTCTTTTTAATTTAATTTAATTTAATTTAATTTCTTTTTAATTTAATTTAATTTAATTTAATTCTTTTTAATTTAATTTAATTTCTTTTTAACTTCATTTTAAATTCTTTTATTTCATTTTATTTAATTCGATTTTCCTTATTTAATATTCAAATCGCCCCGTCTGTTGGCTTCCTCGTGCTGCAGCAGGAGCTGCTGCAGCAAGAGCTGCTGCTGCTGCTGCAGGAGCTGCTGCAGCGGGAGCTGCTGCTGCTGCTGCTGCAGGAGCTGCTGCTGCTGCTGCTGCTGCAGGAGCTGCTGCTGCTGCAGTGCAGTTGCGGGCTCCGCTGCTCTTGCTGCTGCAGCTGCAGCTGCAGCTGCTTTTGGGGTGTCTGTACACCCCGAAAGCTTTAAACTTTGTCTTCATCTGCTGCAAACCAGAGATGCAATTTTACGAACACAAGGCTTTGCTGCTGCTGCTGCTGCTGCTGCTGCTGCTGCTGCTGCTGCCCCTTGTGCTGCTGCTGCTGCCGCAAATAAACTGCATTTGCTGCTGCTGCTGTAGCTGTGGCACTTGAAATTCTTTCTGCCAAAAACTGAAGCAACAGCAGCGGCTGCAGCAGCAGCAGCAGCAGCAGCAGCAGCAAAAAGAAGCCTAAGCCTACTAAAACAATTGGGCGAAGGTGCACAAGAAAGTAATGATGGAAGCAAATCTGTGCTGCTGCTGCTGCTGTTGCTGCTGCTGTTGCTCGTCCTGCTTCTAGAGCAGCAGCTGCTGCCCGTGGTCTTGTTGAGTTTGCTGCTGCTGCTGCTGCAGCGGGTGCTGCTGCTGTTGCTGCAGCTGGTGCTGCTGCTCTCGCTGCCGCTTCTGCTGCTTAGACTATCGCTGCAGCTTCTGCTGGCTTCTAGCAGCAGCAGCAGCTGCTGCTGCTGCCGTTGCTACTGCAGCAGCAGCAGCAGCAGCAGCTGCTGCTGCTGCTGCTGCCGTTGCTACTGCAGCAGCAGCTGCTGCTGCTGCTGCTGCTGCTAGAAGGG